TTTATTCCGAAGATATAATTATCAATTCAAGATAATACAAATCAATGTTTTGCCTCAAAATTCAATGCCTAGTGATTAGTTGTATCCTATCCACCAACTCCTTACATTCATTATGAGTTCAAAACCGTGTAATCTCACAAATGGGAATTCGACCTAATCCAATCGGTTTTGTAAGAGAATAGGTTTAATGTGAAGTAAAACGGTGGTTTAAAACGTTTTGGTGACTACTCTCAAACATAAGGAACAAATCAATATATAAAAGTAATGGAGAAGGGAAACAATTGATGCATACAAGATGTTTTCTTCCATTCTACCGAGCCAATACTCTTTATACTTCAATCAAAGTTACTCTTGTTCTTAACACTATTTCTTCAACTTTTCTTTCTTTTAGGAATGAAACCTAAGAGTTCACTCTTTTACTTTGACATCTACTCTTGCTTTCTTATTTCTACTCCTTATGATTCTTTATTTTTCTTTGCTTACTAGGAGCTTATTGTTTAGACACTTAGCTTAAGAGTAGTGTTTCCTTTCTTTCCGATTTCTCTCCCTAAACATTTTTTTTTTCTTTCTCTAAACCGTTTCGGTTTTACTTCTCTTTCTCATCTCTCCAACTTCTCAACATAAGCTCACACCTTTACTCACCCTCACAATTCCCAAAACCATTATAAAAAAATAATGAGACTCCAAAATTCTCCCAAACCACCTAGACTAGCCAATGAGACTACTTATAATAGAAGAAAAAAACTCGTCGTTTTCATCTCTAAAGATTTTATGCATGATGTGCAAATAGAAAAGGCCTCACTCAACTAAATAAATGGTGGTTTCAAAGAAAGGATAGGTGCAATCAAGGTGTGTTACCAATCCTCATTCGAAAGATGATCTCGAATCGAGAATGGCCATTCAAACCATTAAAGAGTGATAAAAGGGATAAAAATGGTTGAATGTGTATATGTGAACCATGGTTAAGGTTTAAAACCCATAAGTGGGAGAAATAAATGCAATTATGGTCTAATAAGATGGAGTCGGTTTCAATTCAACCAATCAATCAACAAGACTTAGAGAATCTAGAGCGAAGAGATCAAAAATATGGATAAACATGCTTTTCGCGGTTTATGAAGCCTAAAAGAGCATTATCAAGACACTCACAAAGAAAGCTATGTACTAAA